ATATGCACCACACACACACACACACACACACACACACACACACACTTGACACAGCAGCAGGAGAGTCAAAGAGTGCCACTTTCTCGGGAGCAAGAACCATCCAATGTGTTACAAAAACTATTCATGAATATAAAATGAACAGTAGCTAGTTTGAATCTCATAAAACGTGTGCTATTCCTGTAGAGCATGTGCTCGCAACACCACAGTCATGGGATCGATTCTTACAGAATGCATGAACTGATCAAATGTAAACCTATATGCAATGTAAGTCACTTTGAATAAAAGCATCTGACAAATGCATACATGTGTGATTCAGCTTGACAGCACAGATGCTGAGTTACCACGACAGCACACATGCTGAGTTACCAGGGCAACCCAGATGCTGAGTTACCACGACAACACAGATGCTGAAAAGCCAAAGTTATTGTAAGAAAAAAAAATACTGAACAAATATTTGTGGGAGAAATTTAGCGCATTAATAAATAAGCCACAATTTTAATATATATATATATATAAATAAATGGCAATTCTGTAGAGGGGCATCAAAATGGTAATTTTCACCTGAGATTTGGAGCCAAATTCCAGGAGGGTAAGAATGACTTCAGAAAGATTGCAGCATCACTATATTATTTTTACACAGAGATTCGTAGCTCTATTAATAAAATATGTTGACTTTAGCAATCATTGTATCATTATGTGCCAATGGTGACCGTTCAAAAATGGGAAAAAGCACTTTGTGTCTTTTTTTCTCCCAAAGTTTGCATGCCTGTAACTCAAGACGTATTAAAGATATTAAACCGTTTTTGTTCTTCAGACATTGCTCTTTAAATACAACAAGTACCAGCTGTATGCAACGTGATCTACATTTGGTTTTCGACCATTGAAAATTGGTCAAATTCAACATTTTACACATGGAGCTGCATTGAACTCCACATTTCTCTGGAACAGAATCACAAAGGGCCTTAAAAATGAAGATTAGAAAAGAAAAGTTTGTTAATAATTAGAATCTAAAACCTCTGACACTATGGCAGAATATGTAAATGACATGAATGATCTCAAAATGCACGTCCCAGGAGCTACAAATCATTGTAATAATGGCATGAAAAACAGTTAAATGAGGAAAGCTGAGTCTCAGAGGAATCGGCTGTAAAATAACCAGAATAACTAGAGGATTATGGCACATCTGTCCTGAAATAACCCGACATATAACACATATGAATACAGAAGTCAGCTGATTATATCCCAGCAGTGCTGTAAAGAACATGTTTCCTCCCAAATATTACTATGATCATTATTAAAACACAAACTAACAGCAGGAATCCTCTCTAGAATTACATTTCTATCTGACTGAAAACACCTTAAATAACGTTGCAGATCCTTATCTGTTAAATGCAAGAATAATCAGCATGTTTAATTCCAGTTACTTCCAGATCAATGTTTTGAAAGCGTCACTCTTCAGTATCTACCATCAAAAAAAACAAGAAAAAAAAGATAAAAGCTGGTATATTTTTAGATGCATTATACAGTCGAACACATCAATAATGCACTGAGCTGTCTTCAGCTGACTCAGTGTCTTTCTCTGACAGCGTCTCGCAAGATTCCCTGCAAATGTAACACTGATAGTAAATGCTGCTCATTATATAAGCAGGAATTTTGTTTAAAAAGCTGGAAAGTGTAAAGCTTAAAGACATTAATACTTTTATTTAGCAAGGACACATTAAACTGATCAAAAGTGACAGTATAAAGACATTTATGATGTTACAAAAGATTTCTATTTCAAATTATTGTTGATCTTTTGAACTTTCTATTCATCTGTGAATCTTGAAAAATAAAATGCGTCACGGTTTCCACAAAAATATTGGGCAGCACGACTGTTTTCAACATTGATGATAATCAGAAATGTTTCTTGAGCAGCAAATCAGCATATTAGAATGATTTCTGAAGATCATGTGACACTGAAGACAAAAGTAATGATGCTGAAAATTCAGCTTAGTTCCCATCTAAATCAAATGATTCGCAAACCTGCTCTGAAGTCCCAATCTGAATAGTTTTTGCTAGTGAGTCACGAGTTTGAATCAATCGGAGTGGTTCCAGCTAAAATGACTCAATTGATTCAATTTGTCTGTTCCTCCTCTTTTCGCGTCTTCAGTCATGTTTACACGACACTGTCAGCGCTACTACTGGCTCAGCTCGCTAGTGTTATGACATTAACTGAAATAAGCGGGGGAAAAAAATTATATTTACTAATAAAATATCCATGTTTCCATTCCAAACATAACATCCAACACAAATCTATATTGAGGTGAGGTAACCGGTTTACTGCTAACTAGTGAAACACTCCATTAATATAATGAGCTGCAGCTCAAAATACATGTTAGATGGAAACATTGTGCATTATAATGGAGTTTGTAGCTTAAAGGGTTAGTTCACCCAAAAATGAAAATTAGCCCATAAATTACTCACCCTCAAGTCATCCTAGGTGTACATGACAGCAGTTGTACACAGAAGCAGCTCCGGGCGGATGACGTATGAGGTCAGCGTTGCGCAAAAAATAAAAATACTAAAAAAAAACTAAAATAGCCATATTTTTTTTAATGCATTTTTACAAATTGTTTAGGAGTGAAATGTGGAGCCCGGTCTCATGAAATGCATATAAATAGTACGCCAAATAAAAACAATCATATACACATATACATGTATCATATACACGCCAAAGTTAATTTTTGCATATCAATACCACGAGTTTTTGTTTTTATTTGGCGTACTTTTAATACACAGTTTCCTGAGATCGGGTTGGAAATGTGACATGATTTTGTGTGATTTAATAAGTAT